ATACAATATCTTTCTATCTGCAAAAGTGGAGATCTCTGAGAAATGTATTAACCTGGCTTGGAGTTTTTTGGTAGATAAGCAATCTTAAAGATGAAATTAGGAATGCTTATGATGAGTATTGGGACGTGGTGGCGCTGCGGGGGACGTGGTGGCCTGACTTCCTTCTTTCTGGCTCACTTCAGGACTCTGAATTGCTCAGAGGATGACATTCCATTCACCTCCTTCCTCCAGGAAGGAAAAGTCAGAAAAATCCTGGAGCTTTCCCTGCAGAGTTGGAGTGGACAACCTGAGACTTCTGGGATTTAATTGGTTTTCTGGACCTTGTCATGAATCCGCTTAAAGGTACAAGAAATACCGTCAAGGATCCTACCCTGTCTATTCCATTGTTCTGAAGGTGGACATGAAAGACTGTTGGGAGATATACTAATGTTGACTGAGAGGTGAATCGGAGGTCTGGCTGAGGAAACAAAAGTATATTATCATAGGTGGGCTCTAGGGATAACGGATCCTGCAGCACCACCTTGTTCCTCTGGAGTTTGTGGCTCCAGAGAAGAGAGGAACAAAGGGGGCTTAAATGCCCACCAGAATCGCCCGCTGCAGCGAAATGACTCAGGTCAAGGAAAGGGATCCCCTAACAGGGCTCCCCCACAAGCAGGGAAAATCCAAATAACTAATCCACAGGATGGCCATAAATCAACATGAGGGCACCAAACAACAAAAGTCACGCACTGCATGGAGCATGAAGTTGTGTATTCAGCAGAAGCACACAAACAACCTCGATCTGTTTGCCTAGAGGAGGGGAAGAGATGATCTGAAATGAGTCCTAAACGACTCTGAAGCCAGACCGCTTTATCACTAGCATATCTTTGTCTTTCCCTTAATTCATCCCCTTCCTTTCCTTGTCTGTTTACGAAGTCCTCTTTTCGGAGCCCGTTCCCCTCCTTGCTTCTTTTCCACCCGAGGATGATTTCCAGCTGAGGGACTGACAAGGAAGGGAAACACCCTCTCTCTGCAAGCAGAGGAAGTGAAACTAACCAGTTCGCTGCCTCGTGGGACAAACTATGGCTGCTGCTGCCCTTCAGGATCTGTGCGAGGAAGCCACTTGCTCCATCTGCCTGGAGGATTTTATGGATCCCATCACCATTGAATGTGGGCACAATTTCTGCAGAGCCTGCCTGACCCGGTGCTGGGAGGGGACGGAGGGCGAAGAGGCGTCCTGCCCCCAATGCAGAGCAAAAGTCCGAAGGAACCTGATCCCCAATCGGCAGCTGGCAAACTTAGTGGAACAACTCAGTCACTTGGAAGAGGAGAAGGCAAAAGAATCAAAAAGGCTCTGTAAGGAACACCAGGAGCCCCTGAAACTCTTCTGCCAGGACGACAAAACCGTCATTTGTGTGATTTGCGACAGATCCAAAGAGCACCGAGACCACCAGGTGGTTCCTGTGGAGGAGGCTGCCCAGGAGTACCAGGTAGGAATTCCTGTGGATTTGGGGAAGAGGTTGGGGTTGGGGGTTGGGGGGTGTTCTGAAGGAGGCAGGATATACGGTAGCAGTTTATGTGTTGGCTGCCATGTGATAAAGACAGCTGGCTGGATCGCTCTATGGTTCTGACTGCAGAGCCAGAGCGTGGGAGTGCAATTCTCCACTGGGCTTCCTGGAGGAAGAGTCTACCTGTGTGGCCTTGGGCAAGCTGCTTCCAGAAGAAGGCAATGGTCAACCATTCCTGACTGTTCTCTACCTGGAAAACCCAGAAAAGGGTGACCATACATTAGAAGTGATTTAGTGGCAAATGATGATGATTGTTGCTGTTGTTGTTCAAAACTACCAGGAACAGTCAATCAAAATTATAAAAAGACTAGCTGGCTAAATATAACAGATACAGGTTTTAACCAAAAACCGAAGTACAGTGGTGCCTCACTTAGCGACGTTAATCCATTCCAGGAAAAATGTCGCTAAGTGATTTAATCGCTAAGCGTCGGTAAAATGAGTACCCAGCTTGCTGGGGGGGCAGTGTGTAGCCTGTATAATTAAAAAAAATTGTAAACCGCCCGGAGGAAGGGAAGGGGAGGCCCTTACAGAGTCTGCCAAAGGGAGGAGACTAGATCTTTGCTCTCCTCAGCAGAAGCAAAGATCTCCAACAGGACGTGCACTTCCTTCCATGTAACTGGAAGGAACTGGAGATCCACTCGAGATCTTTGCTTTGGCCGAGGAGACAAATATCTGGTCTTTTGCAACCTGGCGAGCCTCTTAGTGATGTGATAGCCAGGGATGGGGACTCTTGACTGGGACCCAAGTCCTGAGTCCCAATCCTCCCTAGTGAGAAAACTCATGTCCTGATTAAAAGGATCAATCATCATCACAATAGTGTTGGCTTTTCCTTAGTGATAGCCAGGGATGGGGACTCTTGACTGGGACCCAAGTCCTGAGTCCCAATCCTCCCTAGTGAGAAAACTCATGTCCTGATTAAAAGGATCAATCATCATCACAATAGCTTAGTGTTGGCTTTAATTTTGGAGGTTGTGTGGAGACAGGAATAAAAAGAGCTCCTGGTCTTTTAGACCTATGGCCACTTCACCATTTATACAAGCCAAACAAGTAACAGCCAGTGTTAAAACACCCAAAAAGGGGGTTTTATGGTCTAGTTTGAGCTTTTCAGTTTACGGGTTCTGACAAAATCTGTCTATATTAATCAAACTGTGAAAATGCATGATTTGGCTGGAGGCCAGTCATTTGATCTTATGTATGTTTTTGTACATGATACATGGTTCTTTTTTAGTTCAAGTACCATATTTTCAAGTATACAATGCACACGTTATAAAAGTCTTTTTTTTTCCCAAGCCGTGGGACCCACCACAAGTTATATTCATAGGAGGCACCATAATGTTGTCAAGGCTTCGAAAGGTCTTATGTCAGCTCAGGATATATTGTATCAGGTTTCAACAAATTTTTGCAGCTCAAGTGAAACACGCATAAAGGGCTTTAGCCATTGAGGAAAATAGCCCATGATTGCAAATGTGCATGACCTCATAATGACCATATATTCTCCACAGGAGACCCATTCTGCCACAGAGCTATTGAAGGTGATGGATCATCACATCCTCCCAATACTTCAGACATGGACAGTGAAGTGCCATCGTGTGATCCAGACCCAGCCTTGTGGTTTCCTATCACAGAGAACATGTGTCCTTTTGGTCAAAAGCGGCTATGACATGTCAAAACAAAATGCATCTGATTCCTACACAGAATTTTACTAACATTATCAATCAGGTCAAGACAAAGTACAATAAAAGCAAGAAACAGCCCCTTCTAGTTCAAGTACTTTACCATATTCTCAAGTATACAATGCACACGTTATAAAAGTCTTTTTTTTTTTCCAAGCCGTGGGACCCACCACAAGTTATATTCATAGGAGGCACCATAATGTTGTCAAGGCTTCGAAAGGTCTTATGTCAGCTCAGGATATATTGTATCAGGTTTCAACAAATTTTTGCAGCTCAAGTGAAACACGCATAAAGGGCTTTAGCCATTGAGGAAAATAGCCCATGATTGCAAATGTGCATGACCTCATAATGACCATATATTCTCCACAGGAGACCCATTCTGCCACAGAGCTATTGAAGGTGATGGATCATCACATCCTCCCAATACTTCAGACATGGACAGTGAAGTGCCATCGTGTGATCCAGACCCAGCCTTGTGGTTTCCTATCACAGAGAACATGTGTCCTTTTGGTCAAAAGCGGCTATGACATGTCAAAACAAAATGCATCTGATTCCTACGCAGAATTTTACCAACATTATCAATCAGGTCAAGGCAAAGTACAATAAAAGCAAGAAACAACCCCTTCAAAGTAGCCTGTTTCTTGTTTTTATTGTACTTTGATGTCCAGATGATGTGACTGGTTTACCAGTGAGACTGGTTTTAATAACTAGAAAAAAAAACCAGAAGAAAAACTGAAAATTCATGAACAAAGTCAAGACCATAGAGATTCTGTTCTGAAGTTAAATTCTCAATGTAGGGAATTTTCTCATGTTGACTAGGAATTGGAAAAACAAATGCAGGAAAACAAGAAATATTGAATATTGTGCCATGTTGTGGCTGTTACCATTTTTTTAGCTGAGAGATGCCTAGTATTTAGAGATAGTGAAGGAATCATAAGATTCGAGCATAATTGGATTTTTTAAAAAAATATATGTTGTTTAGGATTTATGGAACTCATTTAACAATTTGATCCATTTCTGATGGTCCCTTAAAGCAGGAGTCCCCAGCCCCCAGGCTGCAAATCGGTTCCAGTCCATGGCCTTGGAAGGACTGGGCCACCGAGACAAATCTTCAAGGGCTGAAGGAACATTCTTGTACACGCACACATTGTTTGTTATTTTGGCTTCATTCATTTTCTTTTTTGTTTATCAGCTCATAGATGGGCAAATCTAATGAAATCTTTGGTAGGGAATAAAAAGGTGCTAACTGTGAAGTCCCTATCAGACACCCGTTGGTCATCATGAGCTGATGCTACTAAAGCCTGTGTAGATTTTATTGATCTATTTAAACTGTTTTTGACCCAACATTTCCCCTTAAAAGGATCCAAGATAGATACAACTGTATTCAAAATGTCCTCAGAAATGTTGAACATGACTTGGGGCAAAGACCTCAAGCTCTGACATGGGCAGACAAAATAGATTCTCTTGAAACTGCTCTGATGGCCAAGACCTGGAACCTAAGTCTTGAATGGCTCAGCAGAACACAAAAAGCTGTTCAAGGAGTTGAAGCTCACCTGGAGAATGGGGTGGCTGTAATTTATTTTCTGGATAAGTTTCTGAAATCACTTTGGGACAGGTAAGAAGAGTTGGAACTGGATGCCAGGAACCTCTGTGCCAACACAGACTACAAAGCAAATACAGGGAGGCCAGGAAAGAGAAAAAAATATGTTATGATGTGAATCCATCATCAGTCTTAGAGGAAGTTGTTCTTTCCTCCAGAGAAGAATTCAGATGTGGATCTTTCAGTGGTCATTTTAGATCAGTTGTCTTTGGCCTTACAAAACTGCAGGGCAGCATATCAATCAGAGTAGGGCAGGTTCAAAGTCATAGCCAACTTATGTTGCCAGCTTGATGCAGAGATAAGAACTGAAGCTGAGATATTTATCATTGCTTTCCAAAGTGATTTCACTAAGGTGTTGCTCCAACAATCAATGTAGAGGGTACGGTGGGCTGTCCCAGGTAAAAAGGAGCCCGTCCCTCCATGATTGGGATGAAACATGTTCTTCAGTTCTCCTTTGCCCCTGAATTTAAAATGTACTTCTTTTTTCCTCTCAGGATCTCATCTCCAGCCGCCTGAAGCTTCTGGAGGAGGAGAGAGCCAACATTTTAACATATAAAGCAAAAACAGAAGAAGAAAGCCAAGACTTACTTGTGAGTATCAGTGTCCCTAAAAAGGGAACAATTTCTTAAACTAGCATGTGGAACATGCAAAATAACATAAGTAAAGTTTTATTATGTGGTCATAGGCCCGATTATACAAAGATAAAATATGTGAAATAAATACATATAGTATAAAATCTTGCTATAGTGTTTTGTGAATTCTCATAGCTGAAAAAAAAAACCTTAGCCACTAACTATGTAATTATTTGATTCTCTCAAGACAACCGAAACTTCAGATAGTGGAACATGATCAGAATCCAGAGCCTTGAGCCAAATCCTCCTTCCTGGCACTTTGTCACCTGACCCAACCCAGGCTTATCACCTTTTAAAATACCTTTCCAGTAGCGTGTTTGACACCAGCGAGTAACCACATTACGCCTGGGGGCTGAAGAATGCTTCCCTGTTAACAAATACCATATTTTACCGTGTACAAGATGACACTTTTTCCTAAAATAAATCAGAGGAAAAAATTGAGGGTCGCCTTATAAACGGAAGGAAGTGGTGGCGCGGGCGCGCGCTCGGGCCCCTCTTGCCGCCACCGCTGTTGCCCAATTGCCTCTTTCAGAGCTCAGGGCTTGTCCCTGCCGTGGCCAAGGCAGCAGCAGGAGGAGGAGGCAGAGACGGAAGCGAAGGAGCATTCACACGCACTCTGGTGCCTCTTGATGCCTGCCTCCCCCCCCTGCCCGATCACCACCTACAGCGAGACTGAGGGGCTCAGATCAGTCTCTGCCTTGTCCCCTCCATTCCCTTCAGGGGCAGAGACAGCAGGAGGCATAGGCGAAGGAGCATTCACACACGCTCCGGTGCCTCCTACTGCTGCCTCCCCCTCCCCCGCCTGCCCGATCACCGCTGCCTTGTCCCCTCTTGTGGTGGAGGCAGTGGGAGGCACAAGCTGGGGCGCCTCTTCCTGCCTCCTTAGCAAAGGAAAGGCAGCAATGGCTCCCCTTCCTTTTTTGCTAAACCCAGCGTGTCTTTTGCTAACCTTTTCAAAAGGCAAGGGAAAGCGGCAGTCACTTTGACAGCCGCTTTCCTTGCCTTTTGCCAAGGCACGGGGCTTAGCAAAAAGGGAGCCCTTTGATCTCTGCTTTTTAAAATTTGGGGTTAGAAAAAGGGGGGTTTGTCTTGTAAATGGAAAAATACAGTATATTGGTCAGGATTCCCATCACACACATTTATTGTTTAGAGTTGCCTGATAGATCATTGTTGTGGTGGGCTGTCATGTCGCCTTTGATTTACAGTGACCTTATGAATGAGTCACCTCCAAAATGTCCTGTCTTCAACAGGTCCATATAGCTTTTATGAATTCATGACTGGGGCTTCCTTGATTATTCAATCCATCTCATTTGGTCTTCCTCTTTTCCTGCTGCCTTCAACTTTTCCCACTATTCTCTTTTCCAGTGAACCTTGTCTACTTATGATGTGTCCAAAGTATGGCACATTCAGTTTCATTGTTATTGATTCCAGAGAGAGGAGTCCTGATTTTATGTAGGAAGCATTTGTTTGTCTTTCTGGCAGTTCAAGGTATCTGCAAAGCTCTCTTCTAGCACCATATATCATATGAATCCATTTTCTTCTTATCAGTTTTCTTATCTGAAGTCTTCTTAGGATGGATAATTATATCAAGGTGTAGAAAAGCTCTAACAGTTGAAATTATGTCATTGTCTATATTAAAGTTGTGAACTTCTGTAGTCATCCCTTTGGTCTTTTCAATGGTCAACTGTAGTTGTGCTTTGGCACTTTCTTCTTTCACTTTCAGCAGAAATCCCTTCAAGTCATTGACCATTTCAGAAAGATGGTCTCATCTCTATATCTTAAATTATTCATGCATCTTGCACCAATTTTCACTCCTCCTTCATCTGAATTTAGCCCAGCTTTCCAAATAATATGATTTCCATATAGATTAAACAGATAGGAAGATAAAAGTCTCCCTTGTCTGACACCTTTGCCATTCTGTCTCTCCGTATTCTGTCCTTACAGTAGATTCTTGTCCACAATAGAAGTTATGTATCAGGATATTCAAGTGCTCAGGCACACCCACTTTGCTGTAGTCTAGAAAGCATAGACTGAACTACTTGTGAGATGGTTTGGTAGACTCCAGTGGCCAGTGGATATTGCAGTGTGATCTCAACTACCTCCTCTCTTTTAGAATCCCACGTGATCATCAAGACTTTTTCTTATAAGGTAAAAGTCTTTTTTGAAAAATCTTGGTCATCACTTTGCTGGCATGGGAAATTAGAGCAATGGTCCTACAGGTAGTGCACTCCTTGGCATCTCCTTTCTTGAGGATTGAAATGCATATCGAACATTTCCAGTCAGTGGGCCATTGTTTTTTTCCTGTATTTCTTAGCATATTCTTGTTAGGATTTTGACAGATTCCATCTCCATGGCTTGAAGTAGTTCTATCAGTAGCCCATCTACTCCTAATGATAAATTTATTCCTAGGTATTTCAAAAAGCATATTAATTCACTTTCTAGAACTGCAGGTCATACAAATCTTCTTCAGAGGACTCTGGTCTCTTTTTATCTCTTTTAAATAGGTCCTCAATTGTTTCCATCATCTTTTTCTTTTATCTTGTTCAGGTATTATGCTTCCCTATTGCTCTTTTAACATTCGTAACTCACCTTTAAACATTTCTGTGATTTCATGGATCTTCTGAAAGAGATTTCTTGCTTTTTCTCTTTTGTTGCTCTCATCTCTTTCTTTACACTGGCCATTATAATAGTTCTCTTTGTCTCTATGTGAGATGCAGAAAAGCTGCATTCAAGATTCTCCTCCTGTCATCTTTTATTTTTGCTTCTCACATTTCCATAACAATTTTAAATGTTTTTTCTGTCATCTATCTAGCTGTGCTTTCCAACCTTGGGTCCCCAGATGTCCGTGGACTAAAACTGCCAGAAGCCTTTACCACTAGCTGTCTTGGCCAGGATTTCTGAGAGTTGTGATCAACTCTCAGAACATCTGGGAATCCAACATTAGGAACCACTGATCTGGTTTTTTTTTTCCAGTACAGGATTTGCATATTTTGTATTCTTCTCTAATAATATCTCCATCCATAGTTCTTCTGGTTCATGGTCAACTGAGTTTGTTAATGAAAACATGTTCTTTTTGTGGACATTAAATTTTTCAGAAATGTTTTTTTTTTAATTTGGCACTATGATCCTTCTAGTGTTCTTCTTCAGGGCTACCAGGCGTCATGAACAGCTATAATTTGGAATGGCCTGAAGTGTTATTGGGAAATCGAACAAAAGACCTTCATCCAAAGGGTCATTTCACTTCATGAAAGGGGGACCTTCTACACCTCTGGGGGCTGCCTATGCTTAGCTCTGGACTTTGCATAGCTGACTAACCCCAACTCCCCATTTTTATTTTTACTGGAAAACAGCCCTTGAGCCTTCCTGAGAGAAGGGATTTGGCAGGCTGGGGATGTGGGCAGAGAGGTGTGTTGGGGGGCCGAGCACGGAAGGCCCCTCAGTGCAGGGACAGCCTGGCCATCAGGCAGAGTAAGACCAGCGTCTCAGGCGGTGAAGTGTTGAGGGTGGCAGAGAGCCACCATCGACCATCTGCTGCCAGTGCCAGCCACCGCCTCGGTGGCCACCAGCCTCTTCCTCCCTGGCTGCCTCCTGTCCCCTCTTTGGCAATCTGGGTTTGTAAGGCTTTTGGCCTGAGGGTTCTTGAGGAGAAGGCCTGAGTTCTTGGCCTCAGGAGGGGCCCCTTGTGAGAAGGCCAGAGGCCCCTTTGCCCAGCACATAGGAAGAGGTTCCCAGATGGTGGACTGCCCGCCCCCCATGTCCAAAAGCTGCAATGTGTTTCCATTCTTGCTGGGTGAAGAAAGGGTGTACAGAGACATCTGGACCCACTGGATTTTAGGTGTGTGTGATTAAAGGTGATGATATTAGCAGCCTGTAGTGCTATCATGTGGTCTTGTTTGTTTTGTGTATTTTTGTTATTTTTATGGTTGACATTGTTTTTTACAGCCTTTTATTATGGTTTAATGTTGTAAGCAGGCAAGTGTGCCCCCTGTAGGAAAGTGGAAATGGGGCTGCTAATGTGTCAGTAGTAACAACAATAACAAGTAGGAAAGTGAAAATGGGACTGCTAATGTGTCAGTAGTAACAACAAGAACAAGGCATTTCATGCCACTAACCTTTAGCTGCTCTTGTGTGTGTGTGTGTGTGTGTGTGTGTGTGTGTGTGTGTGTTCGCCCCTCCTAACACCCATCACGTAACCAGCCCTTAGGTATGGAATAAAGCACACTTGGTTTGAATAGAATAAGGTTTTATTAAACTAACATTGTCAAAAAAAGGTTATTTATTCCTAGACTTCAACGTTTCTTCGGTACAATTCTTCATTCCCTCTGTTACCCTCTCCCTCCCTCTTAGACTCTCTCTCTCTTCCCCCCACTGCTCTCTTGTGCAAGGACACGCCCCCTTATCTAATTTCCTTCCCAGCCAATCAGAACCATTCTTCACCAACATTCCATGCTCCATTCTCCCTCCCTCTCCCCCAGGACATACAGAATGTATCAGACCAATGAATTTCAAGTAGTGCCTTTACCATGACCGGCTGTTGAAATATACCCAGACCTCACTTCTCGTCCTCTTGCGCAAACCACCCCTGTGACAAATCTTTGGACAATATAAAATACTGTCCAGTGTCATGAATTCCCCATTTGTAGATACTGTGATGTGAGCAGAAGATCAAGAGTGAGCCGTCCTCACTAGAGAAAATGACGGAGGAGAGTGAAGGATGTGTGGTGGGAGAACTCATTAAGTTGGATGACGATGAATGCGGAACGAACAAAGCTATGGAGGTGTTTCTGGCGGAGAGATCTAAGGACTGGGGGGAGAAGTCTAAGGAGTGGAGATGGGGCAATGATATAAAAGAGGAGGAAAGAAAGGAAGGCAGGAATTGGATGGAATAGATAGAGAAGTACAGACGGAGGAGACTGGAGCAGAGAGAGAGCGAATCGCCAGCCTGGTAAAGAACTTTCCTAACTTGATGAGGGAAGATAGGTTATTGCCTCTACCCAAAGAATTGAAGAAGTTAAGTGCTGGAGGGTGTGAAAAGAGATGGAGTCAGATAGTGGGTTTGACTTCCCAACCTTCGGAGGGTTGCGAGATTCCTTATGGGGGCAGCCCCTTTCTACCTAGGCTGGAGGGCTCCATGGTGAAGCATCCCTGTTGTGGGACAACATGCGCAGTGTTGAGCGCTCCTGTGAAGTGTCAGACCGTAACCCCCCCTTTTGGGATGAAGAAATCCTAAAGAGTGAAGATGTTAGAGATGTTGTTACGCCTAAAAAGTACAACTTGTTAACCGATGCTGAACTGTTAGACCCGTTTGGTCCTGAACCGTTTGATGTTAAAAATAACAAAACAAAACCGTTGGGAACTATAACATCTACTCCGACTGTCATTCCCGCCGAATCCCTAGGCCCGCCTACTCTAACTAAAGAACCCAATCACATGTGAAAATGTCACCTTTTGCCATAAACTTCCTTTTCTCCACTTTCTGCCTCATTGCTGCAGAAACAGACAAAAGCCGAGATGGAAAAGATGAAAGCAGAATTTAAGAAACTTCGCCAGTTTTTGGAAGATCAGGAGAAGCTTTTAATGGTCCAGATGGAAGAGGTGGAGAAGGAGATTGTGAGGAAAAAGCATGAGCACCTGGCCAAGCTCTCCGAGGAGCTCTTCTCCCTTGGAGATCTCATCCAGGAGATGGAGCAGAAGTGCCAGCAACCCCCAGAGGAATTCCTGCAGGTAGGAGTAATGGAAGCAGAGCAGACTGCTCTCGAGGGGGAAACTGGATCCAAAATTGTCGTGCAGTTCCACCTACACACAGGATGAAAGGTTGAGGTTTGGGAACTCCAAGCTAGGAGATGCAGAAACATCAAGGCGAGATAAAAGAATAAGACTTTTCTCTTGGTGTGGACAAGCTTTTCCCTCTGTGTAAAGGTAAAAGTAAAGGATCCCCGTGACAATTTTTATCCAGTCGTGCTCGACTCTAGGGGACGGTGCTCATCCCCGTTTCCAAGCCATAGAGCCAGCGTTTGTCCGAAGACAATCTTTCCATGGTCACATGGCCAGTGCGACTTAGACACGGAATGCTGTTACCTTCCCACCGAGGTGGTCCCTATTTATCTACTCGCATTTGCATGCTTTCGAACCGCTAGGTTGGCGGGAGCTGGGACAAGCGACGGGCGCTCACTCTGTCGTGTGGATTTGATCTTACGACTGCTGGTCTTCTGACCCTGCAGCACAGGCTTCTGCGGTTTAGCCCGCAGCGCCACCACGTCCCTGGTTTTCCCTCTGTGTAACATGGATGCAATTTTCATTTCTCAGAATGCTTCTTGGCCAAGTAAGGTCCTGCTCCTGCCCCTTTCATAAGCTTTCTAGAAACATCTGGTTGGCCACTTCCGGGAAAGGAACGCTGGTCCAGATGGTCTTGCCAAGCAAGTCTTTTGTCATAGTTGGCATCTGGGATGGAAACCTTGCCATCAATGGCACCTCCCTCAGGTTAGAAAGTTACGGTATCTTCTGAGGTCATGTTTGTGTCATGAAAGAGTGTAATTCTGCACAGAAAATAGACTGAGATGGTGAGGAAAGAAGAAACGCTCTCTCCCTCCCAACATGGCCCTTATAATTCTAAAATTCTTCTCCGTTTTTCCCTGTGAGAGAGCAGGACCCAGTCAAAGGCTTCCTTTAACTTCACTGTGGGAGTCTCTGTCTTCTCCTCAGTGCCTGATTGGAGTGGACTCCTTGTGGCAGAAGGAAGGCCAGTGGGCCTCGTCGCATTGTGATGATGGCACTAAACTCCCTCTTTCTGTTTCTCTTTTTCTCCCCAAGGACGTTGGAAGCATCCTGCAGAGGTAAGCGTATCTTCTTGTTTCTGTTAGTGCTCCACAATGCTGGGAAGAGTCTGCACAGAGAAGATCACGTAATCCTCCAGTCTCCTGGGACAACGGCCTTTGCCTTTCCAGATTTCCATTCCCAACTTTGCAGTTCTGAGATGATGGTGATGATGAAACAATCACCATGTTTTTTAATTTAGAGCACCCCTGTTTTTTCTACCCTGGGCATTAACCAACCAGTTGATTAATAGCATTATTAGTTAATTAATAGCATTATATTACTAGTACTAATCAATAAAGTGTGGTGCAGTATTATGTTCTTCATAGCAACACAGGATGGTAAAAGATAACGCTAATTAAAAAGGCTGCCATTACGTGTAGAATACGAGTATCTTTAGGAGCAGGAGTTGCAGGTGTACCATCTCCACAGCAAGATTTCCTGTTGTTTGTTACAAGTATGTTAAGGGCTCCCAAATACGGGAGGGAGAGGTGGCATGTTCACTGTATTTTTCTCCATCAGGAGCAATGAGAAAGTTACATTTGAGAATCCAGTCGTCTTTCTTCCGGAACTGAAGTGGAAGATTTGGGATTTTTGTGATATGAATCCTTTTCTAGCAGCCGTCATGAACCAGTTCAAAGGTAATGAAAAACGACTGCATAGCTTTTGTTCCGGAGTTAACATGAGAGGTTTCTCTGACCCTTCCTATCCTTCTCTCTTATTACTGCCTCCCAGAATTCTGCCCGTTGGATTCTGTGCAGATTCTGGGAGAGGAAGCCCAGAAATATGCAAATCCCATCCCCAGTAAAAAGGCCTGATACGGTGATGTTAGCTAGAAGCAGTTTAAGCATTTATAAGGAGGATTTGCTCTTTGCCAAAATTAGGCTCATCCATGCATCCTGTTTGCGCTTCCATTGCCCATTGATTTGGCTTGTTTAACGGGCCTACATGAAGTTACAGGAGATCTGAATAGATCTTTTCCAGTTCCCTTCAACTTCAGGATTATTTTCCTTCATTTGGGAAGTGGGTTTTGTTGTTGCTGTTTGTTTTGTTTTTCGGAAGACCCTTTTGTTCCAGACGTGTCAGCCCTGTTTCTTTTGTCCCAGACAAGCCCTGTTCCTATGGGCTGTGCACGTTTTGAACATCCAAGACGCCGCCTGTGATGTCATTGGGGGAAGGGCTTCTTCCTCTTCCTCTTCCATGGGAGGGAAAGAGACAACAGGCAAAGACAGGGCAGAGAATGGCAATGGGGATCAAAGGGAAGGACCAGCGGAGGTGGGAAGAGAGAGGATGTCTTTTGGGGTAGAAATTCAAATCAGAAGAATCCAGGTGACATTCAAGGTAAAATTAAAATAGAGATGGAAGCTTGGAGGGAGTGGTTCTGCATCAGTGGGGAAAAGGAACCACTCTTCCAACCTGCCTCGTTCTGAGCCGCCACACCCCTCGTGTGTCGAAGAGAGACAAAAGGCTCATTCGTTAAATCGTCCTTTACTTGAAGTAAGGAAGCAACAACAGCTATGTTATGAACTGGTATTTTATTAATCAGAACTCTTGTAGATTTGGTGCTCTGATGCCTGACGTTTGTGCATTTTTCTTTGCCCAGATGCTCTGGTACATGGACTTCGGCTGCAGAAAGGTAAATGTCTGTTTGAGGACCAAGTTCACGGGAGGGTGTTAGGGTCACCGGTTTGGCTGGTTGCGTATCAGTGAAATTAAACAATCATCCAATCTATTCATGTTAAGTATACAAGCATCCAATCTATTTATTTTTCAATAAAAAATCAAATTTCTACTTCTTATTTTTTTTACTGTTTAATTACCCTCTAGCTTTCAACTTACAATTATGTTTTGGTTTGAATCTAAGTTATTCCAACACTATCAAGAAACTGAGACCAATTGTAAATACATCCCCTCTTTCAATTTCCTTTTGTCTTGGACATACATTCAGCACGCCTGAAAAAGTATACAGTGGTGCCTCGCATAGCGAACGCTTCGCTATGCGATGAAACCGCACAACGAGGGGTCCCGGGCCATCGCTGGAGCGTTCGCTCAGCGATGGCCCCTATGGGCTTTTTTCGCTATGCGATGATCACGCGGACGCGATCAAAGCATAGCGAACAGCTGATCGGCGGTTCCAAAATGGCCGCCGCTTAAATAAAATGGCGACCGCTGTTTTGCCTCGCTAACGAGGCATCCAAAATGGCCACCGCAATGGAGGAAACTCACAGAACGGTGAGTTTTAAGTCCATAGGAACGTATTAAATCAGTTTTAATACGTTCCTATGGGCTTTTTTGTTTCACTTAACGATGGATTCGCTGAGCGAGGGTTAATCCGGAACGGATTAACCTCGCTAAGCGAGGCACCACTGTACATTTCAATCACTTCCCATATTTTACCAATACGCTTATTTTGTTTCCGTGGCTCTGTTTTCTTCCCTTTTTTTGAAAGAGAAGGATGAATCCAGGGCAGTAATCCGATTTTTAACCTCATATTTTCTGACTGTTGTAGCTAAATAGCTTACTGGGTAGCACTTAATCCCATCTATGTTACCTAGCATTGCACTCAATGAACACAGTTCTGCAATTAATACAGGTTCCTTTAACTGTTGTTTAACATCTGATGATTTCTCTTCCATCAAATCTTCAATCTGGCTGAGACGCTCATCTACCTGCTGAAATCCTGTTATTATTATCATTTGCATGGTAACCTGCCATTCTTTATCTGATAAAGTCCCCAACAGTTAATATTTAAATTTTTCAGGGGCCATTTCCATCTTTCCAATGAGTATGATCTGTATAAATAATACTCTTTAGTTTCGACTATTTTATCAACAAATCAAACCCATCATCATCAACATCCCCTGGATATTTCCTCTCCCCTTTACCCAGGTATTATAGTATATAGACCAGCTTTTAGCCCAGTAATTTAAATTACAACTGTGGCAGTATTATTAGAATATCACACAGTCCAGCCAAGAAAAAGTCCAGATTAAACAGTAGACACAGGAAGTCAGTCTCTCCAATAGATATTGTTATAATCCGTCAGACTCCAGTCCTGGTTTTCCTAGCTCCTCAGTCTATTCAGTTGCATTCCTCTCGCTTATTTCAAGATATCTTGAATTATAGGAGAGGGATTTGTGCTTTGAATGTAAGTTAAGAGGTTCAACCTGCAGTACTTGAAGGGCCTATTGATTTTGAATTTGATTCCTCTGGCATGCTTAGGGTCAGCATGTTGGTCAGTGGATTCTATAATTGATGTTGCTCCTTATGTTTTTCCTCTCAACTCTGTTCTCCTGCAGCAAATGTAACCCTGGATCCAGACACGGCTCATCTGTGGCTTATTGTTTCTGAAGATCGTAAAAGTGTCACATGTGGATCCAAAAGTCAAGATCTGCCTGACAATCCTAAGAGATTTTCCAAACGTGGTATGGTGCTGGGACAGGAGAGATTCACAGCAGGCAGACATTTCTGGGAAGTTGTTGTGAGAAGTGAGGAGAACTGGCTGGCAGGGGTCACCCGAGAGTCAGTGGAGAGAAAGGAAGACGGTATCTCAACTGCAAAGAGAGGTATCTTGGCTGTAGAGAAGTGGGACGGTGAATACAAGTCTACCAGCCATCCTACGTTCACTTGCTTGTCTCCAAGTGATGACCTCAAAAGAATCCGAGTGTCTCTGAATTGTGCAGCTGGGAGGGTTGCTTTCTACAATGCTGACACAGCAGACCATCTGTACACGTTCTCTGAAGCCTCATTTGTGGGACAGACCTTTCTGCCCCTCTTTGAAGTCTTCAGAAAGGGCCATGTCAGAATCTCCCCTTAAGGCAGCTGAGTAAACTGATGTCCCATGGTGTTTTCTTCACCCCAAGAAGATTAATGTAGAAATCAAAGATCAATTGGTCACAAGACTTTTTTTCTCTCTCTTTGGCTACAAACTCTCAAGAAGGCTTCTGGTCACAGGCTGTAAAATCACTCAGTCAGAGGGCCACATTTTTCTCTTGCCACCACTGGTTCTGAATTGGAAGGTTTTCAATGAATAAACTTCTCTTTACACTCCCTCTTTAGCTGAGCTATGGCCAAGCAGCCAACAGAGTTACTTCCTTACTAAGTAGCTGCCACTGGAACATAACGAGATATTTGCTGTGTAAAAGAAAAGACGCTTCTGTTGTATAACGAAATAAGTGCTGATGCTTAGAACAACAACAGTGTAGTTAGTTCAGAGAAACATCAGATACTATCCTTTTGTGAAATACCTCACATTCTGGATCAGGGTTTAAGCAATTGATTTAAAGTCACATGGTAGTCACATGGTTTTTCTGTTGCTGTGTACGTCCTCTTGGACAACTTTTAATCTGGTTTTAAGTTTTGTTTTAGATTGCTCCCAGGAATAATGTAGGATTTTAAATTATTGCGTTTTCAAACTTGCAGTAGATCACAAGGTTTCTAAAATCGATGTTTCCAGTTCCCCGTAATACCTCTTTTGCATCTTTGCATTAGAATTTCTCATTATATTCAAATTTGGTCATTATTTCAAAATGATGTGGTGGGTGTTCAATGCTATGAAGTGTTTCATTTCAAAATTTTTGTCCAAATTGACCCCTCCTTTATCATAGAATCATAGAAAAGTGAAGTTGGAAGGGGCCTACAAGATCATCAAATCCAACCCCCTGCTCAAGGAAGGAATATGATCAAAGCATATCTGCCAGGTGGTTATCTAAGTTTTTCTTGAATGCTCTAGTAAAATAAAGTGCCTCTAGTATGAAATAAAGAACTCTGTGATTTCAACGTCAACCATTTCCCATTCTCTCCTGTTTCAAGTTCCTGTACTACAGTGTACTGTTACGACACATGATGGTGTCATCATCCAGCATACATGTTTCTCTATGGTTGATGTTAAGGACATTTTAATTTTCCCCCTGCAGAGTTCCAAGTGGCAGGCTTAACCGATACTATGTCCACACAGGAATACCATTGCATAATGAAGTGGGCTCCTGCCTCCCGTTTGGTTCCATCACATGACTTCCACCCTCATTTTGTCTCGGCTTGCTGACATGTTCAGCCAAGATATGGTGTGTGTGTTTTCAGCAAACTGCAGTAACAACCTAATACATTCAATGATGTTGTGCGTCACCAGTAAGACTGGCAGTAAAAAAATCTGCCATGTTTGGGAGACACTTTTTACTGCTCTCCACAGGACTGGAATCTTAAAGTGACTCAGAGACAGAGCAGCTGGTACCTTGTCTTCTGTTTACTGTTTATTTTGCTGCTCTCTGCAGGACTGGAATATTAAAGTGACTCAGCGACAGAGCAGCTGGTACCTGGTCTTCTGTTTACTGCATGCCTTTCACGGCTGAATGTGCTGCTTCCCGCTCTTTTGATGGGGCAGGTTATCCCTGAGACCATGACCTGCCCTTAAACCAAGGGGAGGAAAACAACCGAGAGAATCCCTTGCCGTGTTTTCCTACCCCCTGCCAGAATCCCAACTGTCCCTTTGCAAAAATTCGCCACCAGGAGATTTGAAAAGGCATCCTGTTCTTGCGGCTTTCTCCGACTACCTGAAATCAATGACTCCACAAGTGCAATCCCTCAACGTTCTTGGAAGGCCGTGGTTTCCGAACCCTTTGGACTCATGGCTTCCTAGAGCAGTGGAACAGGAGGCATGGCAAAGGGTGTAGGGGGGGAATGGAGAAAAAGGAAGGTGAAGGAGCCGGAGCTTGAGGAGAACCACCAGCGGCAGCACCGCCAGGTTGGCAAAGAGACCGAAAGAGCCTTCCACAGCATCCATGGCTAGGTTTGGTGGGGCCAAACCACATAGAGAAACTTGGAAACTTACTGACACCCACGCTAATTGATGAAATGTGGGACTACACAATGGGGCACCGAACCTGCTGGGCTGAGCCTGGTCATGGGAACTGGTTGCCTGATCCGCGTTGGCCCTTCTGGGATGGCCAGCTCTGGCTCCCAAGCTTCGGGATGGAAATCGCAGAGTCCCTTCGACCTCACATTGAGAGGCAGAGAAGCATCACGAGAGAAGCAGTGCCATCTGAGGCAAGAGGCTACTTGTATATTTCTTTTCCAGTTGAAGATACATCATCTCCACTCATCCTTCTAGTTATTTGTTTCCTACTCCGAGAGTGAAACAAAACCACCAAGAAACAAGAGGGAGGTGTCAGCCCATCTACAAAATTAGCAGGAAACAAATCAATTAAAAATAGGTCAACCCACAATTGAAAGGCTCCTCCAAGAGAAGTGAGGCTACCTTGACGGATGGCTGTCACAAACTCCAAACAGGAACACATCTCATAGGGGAGCCGGACTTGGCTATCCTAGTTTCTTGCTGTTCCTCTTTTTTTTAAGGTGACCATCCTTTTCTTCCTTCAAGGAGCTGGACCAGCTACTGATGGAGAGGAGCACTGGGAGAATCCAGGACAATGGGCGGCAAACCTGCAGAAATATTAGCAAGTCATGTGGCTACCCTGGGAAAATGGAAACATGTTAAACATGGTAAAATCCATGTGGCAACTACGGCCTCTCTGGGTGGGGTTTGTCTCCCACATGGCCTCACCTACAGCCCTTGATATGGGTGGCACTTGCCAGGCTCTGGTGAGTCGCTCCCTCCCAGCCCAAAGGGAATGTTTTCATCCTGTCCGCAGCCCCGGCAGTAAGAGGGCTCACAAAAGAGGTGCTGGGGCTGCCTTCCCAGCCTTTCTGCAAATGACAGGATGGGTCCAAAAGGCCTGTGTCCTGTGGCTTTCTTCCCACCAGCCTCTCCTTGCTGAGTTTATGTTGCACCAGGGGAATACAAAACACAAGATTTTCCCACAGATCACTAGGATTACTCGGTCAGCTTTGTCTTGGTCCCCGAAATTTCAAGGCCACAATGGGAGGCCAAGCAGAGGTCCCTCTGGCAGAACACTGGTGGGTCCTTCTGCTGTCACAGAGCGGGCAAGGGTTAGCGGGGAATCAGAGTTGCTTCTGGGCCAGCCGAGGGCAGAAATGGGGCCATCCAAAGAGACCCAGAACCCAAGCAAAATCTTGGGACAAAGGAGAGGGCCTTCACTGTCGCTGCTCCTAGACTCTGGCCTTCCCTTCCACGAGATGCCAGTTTGGCCCCATCTTTCCTGTTCTTCTGCAAGCAGGCAAAGATACTATTCTCTCTTCAGGCAGGCTTTCCGCCACAGCCTCATCTACAGCACTCCATGTGGGAGGAGCTTTTCTAAGCTCACTGCCAGCCCAAAGGGAGTTTTTCCACCAGGCCCTGAACTCCTGCAGTAAGGAGGCTCCCCAAAGGGTTGTTGTTGTTGTTTAGGCGTTAATCCGTGTCCAACTCTTTGTGAGCCCCATGGACCAGAGCACGCCAGGCCTTCCTGTTTCTACTACCTCCCGGAGTTGGGTCCAATTCATGCTGGTCACAAAAGGGTAGCGAGGGAGTTGGGGTTAGGCAGCTATGCAAAGTCCAGAGCTAAGCTTAGGCAGCCCCCAGAGCTGTAGAAGGCGCCCCTTTCGTCAAGTGAAAGGATGAAGATCTTTGGTTCGCTTTCCCAATGACATTTCAGGCCATTCCAAATTATAGCTGTTACAGGATGCCTTGTAGCCCTTGTTTCTTCTACATTTCACATCACATTCTTCATAAGAACTTTTTTTTCCTTCATAGTAACATTTATACTCACCAGCATCTTTTTGCTTTCGTTTACTGTTTCACCTTTATATTTTGTAATTTCCCCCTTCTCTTTCTTCAGAAGCTCCAAGTGATTGGTGATCAGTTCCTGAAAAGAAAATGGAAGTTCAGGTGTGGCTTGAAGGGAGAGGGAGAGACCCAACTGCTCTGCTTCCCCCCTAGTGGGGCAAGGACTGCGTCTCTCTTGCCTTCTTATTTGTATTTATTTCTTCAATTTATATCCTGCTCCCAAGTGTCAAGGCACTTTTTACAGCAAATATAAAACAGAGAATAAATATAAATAAAAACACTAAAACCAAATTGCAAATTGTCTTAAAAGCAAATGGTGCGAAACAATCATATAATTTAAAAAAATCTTATACTGTACTGTTATTATTATTAGCCCATAATAATAATTTTGTGCCATCAGGTCAATTTAGAGTTATGATGACACTTTTTAGAGTTTTCTAGGCAGGCAGTATTCCTTGGTGATTTACTATGCCTTTCCTTTGAGGGCATCCTGGGACTGTGCCGCTTGCCCAAGGCCCCACAGGTTGACTCTCCTCACAGGAGGCACAGCGGGGAATCGAACTCCCAACCTCTGATTGCAGCCAGATACGTAAACCACTGAGATGAGCTGCCCTCCTTGCCCTAGGCTACAGACTTCCCACATGACCCCAAAACATGGCAACTGAAACTGGTCCTCATACTTGAACGGAGGGTCTGATTATCTTCAGAGCTTGGGAGGATGTGTGCTAAATATTTTCATTTGCCTGTGCATGCATGCACACACACACTAACACACACACAAAGGCTGAGACTTCTCAGAGTTCCCTATAGACCAGTGTTGGGGATTCACAGATCGAGAAGCAGCAGCTTGACTCGGACTCGACTCACGGATTTTGGTGGGGACTTGTGACTCAACTCGGGGACGTGGTGGCGCTGTGGGTTAAACCACAGAAGCCTGTGCTGCAAGGTCAGAAGACCAAGCAGTCGTAAGATTGAATTCACGCAACGGAGTGAGCGCCCGTCGCTTTGTCCCAGCTACTGCCAAGCATACAAATGCAAGTAGATCAATAGGGACCACCTCGGTGGGAAAGTAACAGCGTTCCGTGTCTAAGTCGCACTGGCCATGTGACCATGGAGGATTGTCTTCGGGCAAAACGCTGGCTCTATGGCTTGGAAACGGGGATGAGCACCGCCCCCTAGAGTCGAACACGACTGGACAACAAATTGTCAAGAGGAACCTTTACCTTTACCTTTACTGTGACTCAACTCACAACTTGGGACCCATTCGTCTGAGTCATATTGTCATGTCCCTATGGGCCTCCCCCCCCCGCCCTTTGCCCCCTGCTGGTGCTGCTGCCATCACCACCTTCAAAGGCAGCAGGCCTGACCTCAATTCCCAGAGCTGGCCTGCCGCAGTCACCCAGCTGATAGGCTGACACATGCCTGGAGACAGTGAGTCATTCTGGGAACAGCAAGCCTGCTTGGCTTCCCTTCCAACCCCTCTCTGTGCAAATCTGGAAGGCAGGCAGCAGCTGAAGGATGTAGGAGGGTTGTGGATGGGAGTGTAGGGGGTCATGGAGAGGATGGAGGGTCATGGAGTATGGGAGCCACAGATGGGTCTTCCTGCTGCAGTGCAAACTTGCTTCTCCACCTTGCTTTGCAGAAAGGATTCCAGCATTACTCTGCCTGCCAAAGAGAAGTTAGTGCTAAGATGATTCTGGGTTCAGGGAGGGCCTTTTAATTCCTGACTCTGGGCAGAGCACAACTGACAAATAAAGCTAAAGGCAAACAGGGTGTTTGCCATGGGAGTTCGCCTGGGGGGGGGAGGGCAAGGGGGGAGGCCCCCCCTAACAATTTTGGGAGGTTCCTTTGGGTATGCATTCAGCTACAGTGGTGCCCCGCATAGCGACGATAATCCATTCTGAAAAAATCGTCACTATACGGATTTGTTGCTATGTGGGACAAAGAAGCCCATAGGAACGCATTAAAACACATTTAATGCATTCCTATGGGCAAAAAACTCACCGTTATGCGGAAATCCTCCATGCGGCCACCATTTTCGCTGCCCGGTAAGCGAGGAAAGGGCGCGAAAACACAGTGGGCGGCCATTTTCTTTACCCGGCGGCCATTTTGGAACCGCCGATCAGATGTTTTTAAAACATCATTATGTGATAATCGGTAAGCAAGGGTTTAAAGGAATGACAGTAGGATAGGTTTTTTTAAAAAAGCACACAGTTTTTATTTAGTTTAGGCATCCTTCAGTCTCAAGAGACTATGGTAACGTGCTCTGAACAGAGCACTTGGAACAGCATCTAGTATGGCTGAGAAGGCCAATTCGAGAGTGACAATCCCTTCCACACTGAAGACAAACACAGTCTGTCCCCTGTCCAGCTCCCTGATTTTGCTGGTTTCGGGACTGCCTCTTTGCCTCGGCCTGCTGGACAAGGGTCTCTTCAAATTGGGAGGGGCAGTGATGCAACGCCTGCCTCCAGGCTGAGCGCTCAGACGTCAAGATTTCCCAGCTGTTGAGATCCATTCCTAAGGCCTTCAGATCCCGCTTGCCGATATCCTTGTATCGCAGCTGCACTAATTCTCCATACAGGGTATCTTTTGGAATCCGACCGTCAGCCATTCTCATGACATACCCAAGCCAACGTAGACATCGTACGCAATGTAGCACACAATTATGATGACTCTTATTACGTATGTGCCCTCAAAATGGTCACCACTGCCCCAAAGTCTGGAACATAAGCTGGGGTCACTCAGCCTATTATTATCTTGGCCCCTCTCTCTGGACTGGTGAGTCCAGGAATGCTGGCGGCCATTTTCTGAGTCTTCTTCTCAGGCTGCTCTGCCTTTGGGACGCCAAGCCTTGCAAGTTCAGACTTTTAAAATTTACGCTAAACAAATAGAAACAGAATAATCGTGTCACAGTCCGTCTCTCTTTTGTCAGAATGGCAGGGAACCAGCAGTCCTTGCTTTCTCCTCTTCCAGGCGTGGCTCCACCAACAGATGAATCTCACCGCCAGCCTGACATATTGTTGGGGGAGACAGTGAGACAGGATGGGCTATCCCATGAGCCATTCTGTCCTTCCATGATATAAATGTTGCATTCTAATATTACGAAGTGAGTATGTAAGAACAACAAAAACTGTTACTGAAAGGTTTTTAAGCCATATGTGGAAAAAACCAAGCTTTTCTCTTCCAGGTATGGGACTGGCAGCAGCAATGTGCAGACGTTTAAGGCTTCTCCTGCTGTCTTCAAAAGCTCCCCCAGGTCCAAATGGACCCTAAGGGCCTCCAGGAACATGAGGGGTGGGGGGAGGATATGAAACTTTATATTAACAAAATAGGGCCATAGCTGATGACATAATCAGGTGTAAGTGGTGTAACTTCACATTACTAGATTTCAACCATTCATATTTTACTACATTTTAAACTACTGTATAAAACTCCATTTCTGTTGCTCCCAAAACCTCTTGATCTGAAGGCCCAAAGTGCTTTGGAGGAGAAATATTGTCACCTTGTGGCTGATGGAAGTAAAGACTAATTTCTCCACCTAGATCAGCAAACACCCACAGGAACTGTTATGGACTTTCTCCAGACAGGGAAAAAGAAATGCTTAGCTTTGTTCTCTTTAGATCTGCTGCTAAAGGTCGCTTTGGAAAGGAGTACTTTTGAGATCCACATCTAGAAGGAGAAAGTTGGATTTTTCTACAAGTGGCTTCAAAAGCTTGATCACCCACATCTCCACTCACTCCCAGCTGGCACCAGGGCTCACTGGGTCAGGGCAAAGGCATTTTTGTAGGTGTGCAACACAGGTAAATTAAAAAGCCAGAATCTTGAGGGAGGAAGGGGGTGAAAGCTTGTGGGTCTGTCTCTTTGGTTCCCTTATGGCATTCAGTATGGAGGGCCAGCATAACAACTCAGGAGACTTCCATGGTGCACATATTACAGTGGTGCCCCGCATAACGAGCGATTTGTTTAATGACGAATCTGCATAGCGATGAGGTTTTTGCGATCGCAAAAGCGATCGCATTGCGATGTTTTAGATGGCAAAACATTGCTTTGCGATGATCGGTAAGCTTTTCGCTTACCGATTATCGCATAACGATGTTTTAAAAACAGCTGATTGGCACTTCCAAAATGGCCACCGGGTAAACAACATGGCCGCCCGCAGTGTTTTCGCGCCCTTTCCTCGCGGTACCAGGAGCGAAAATGGCGGCTGGATGATTTTCGCTTAAAGGTGAGTTTTTTCCCTATAGGACCGCATTAAACGTGTTTTAATACGTTCCTATGGGTTTTTTTGCCCTGCATAGCGATGAATCCGGATAGTGACAATTTTTTGGGAATGGATTATTGTCGCTATGCGGGGCACCACTGTACCTTGAAGCAGCAGCAGCAGAAGTAGCACAGGATGCAGGAAAACCCCCTGCCTTGCATCTTATTAAGTCAGGATACAGAGAATGCAAGTCCTAGAAGGAATGGTGGCAACCACTGTGAACATTTTGCTGTCCATTGGATTCCCTCACACTCACACACACACTTAATTGCCAAATGACTGGTCAATTAGGTTTCATTTGGTTTCTACATCTGCTTACTTGGATGTCCCCACATGCCCATTTCTGCAGTCAGCTGCCCCCAAAGCAATTCCCCTTTAAACCCTTGCTTGCTCTGTGACATCAGAATGACCCAACTCTATAATGGAACAAGGACTGTTTTTTTTTTTATTAATGGCTTGGATAAAGGAGTTCAAGAAATACTTATCAAATCTGTAGATGACATAAAATTGGGTGCAATAGCTAATATCTTAGAAGATAAAAATTCAAAAAGATCTCAATAGGTTTGGGTGCTGGGCTGAAAACAACAGAATGAAACTGAAGTGGGATAACTGCAAAATTCTACAACTGGGGGGAAAACCAAATGAACTTACAATATGAGGGATACTTGGCTCAGTAACACTACAAGTGAAAAGGATCTTGGAATTGTTGTACATCACAATCTGAATATGAGGCATAGAAATATACTGCACAACAAGATGAATGGTTGTAATAGTAAACTTAGGACCTGTATAAGCTTACATGCCAATTACACACAAGGGCAGCAAGTATCTGTATTTAAGCGGGAGCTTAAATGGTATTCTGTTGTTCTGGATCAATCCAGGCCTATCCAGAACAACATCAATGGATGTGAATGGTGAACCACACAACATATTTCTTGTTAGGGAAATACACAAGTTGGCTTTCTTGAGTGCAGATATTTGGCCTAGAATGGCATATTCCCAGTCAGTCACAATGATTTCTTCATGCTTGGGGTTGGAAGGTTGGAGCTGTTAAAAGAAAAACATTATCCACCAGGATCAGTGATAACTGCACACAAAAGATTAGCCGATGACACCCATCACAATGACAGATCATCTCCCCCTTATCACAACGAAACACCCATAACCAAACAACACCCTGATCACAGGAAACACCCAATCTCCTGAAAAGAACAAAAACACCGACCCCACAGCTACAAATACTCAACAATCCCACACACTACACCAGAACACAGACAAAATTCTAGCTCCTGTCCTCTGAAGATGCTGGCCACAGAGACTAGTGAAACGTAAGGTAGAAAAACCTCCAGAACATGGTCAAACAGTTCGAAAAACCCACAACCATCGGATCCTAGCCATGAAAGCCTTTGAGAACACAAAAATAATATCCTTTTTTTTCCAGAGTGAGGGCAGTGTAGCAAATGCCGAGGCCTTGTGACAAAGGACATGAGAAAACTGAAAGGCCAAATGAGAGTCATGGATGCAGAATCTTTTCTGAAAGTACAGATGGGAGGTTTCTGACATGTTGGAAAAGGGCTACTGTCTCTTTCAGAATCGATTGGCAAAAGGAGGGAAGATGTTTGGGAAAGGGAGGGCGAAAAGCAGAACTCCCCATTCTTGGTTCAGGTTATTCAGGGGAGGAGGGTGGCCATAAGCCTGCTAATGGTGGTGGCGATTTGCAAAAGGAGGAGACACACTTGACCAATTGAGGGTTGATTTTCCTCTGAGGTCATCTTGGCTGCCTTAAGGAGAGATTGAAAGGCAGGCTTTCCCCCAAACATAAAAGAAGGGGAGAAGGGTCTCCCCAGAGAAAGAGGCTCCATAGAAGGTGTAGAGATGAGATCCTGTATCAGCATCATAAAAAGCCACCCGATGCCCTTCAAAGTTCAGGGAAATTCGGATCCTCTTCAGCTTTCCACTCAAGGACAAAACATGGCCATTGACACTGTAGTCATCTGCCCATTTCCCCATAGCCCAGATCCCTTCCACAGTACTCAGTTCAACGTAGTCTTTCCTCCGTACAGACTTTCTGGCCACTCCTACGGCCCACTGTTCTTCTGTCTCTACAATGACTTCCCAATAATGTCTGCCTGCTGTGAATCTCTCGCATCCCAGCACAAAAGGATGTAGGTCAAATCTCTCAGGATTGTTGGGCAGATCTTGATCTCTGTCTCCGTATCTCACGCTTTTGCGGTCCTCAGACAGGACGAGGAAGAGATTTGCTGTGTCCGGATCCAGAGTGACGTTTGCTATTTGGAGACAAAAGGCAGAAGAGAAGGTGAGGAGAGTGAGGCGGCAAAGCCACTGTGGTGTGTCTGTATCATTAACACATCATAGCAGTTTTGTACAAGGAATCATTTTAATCTCTCTCAACACATATTTAAAAAAACATTCTGTACAAAAAAAACATTATTAAGCCTGACAGATTGAATTTTAGCTTGTGCTACCTTTAGATCCTGCCAGAATCGATGGACAGAGTTGGTGACTGGGTTTGTGAGTGGAGTCTGATCTCTCTTTAACCATCCCTCTTGTGTGGCCTGCCATGTGTGAGCAGTTATTTACGGGGTGTGATGTGGTGGGGTGGATTGCCTGTAATTGAATCCAGGCTTCCAAATCAAAGTCTCGGAGAAAGAGGTAGTATTGTCCAGAATGCGCAGTAACCATTTGATGAGATACATGAGCGATCTCTTTGGGGTCTGTATTTTAATAGCTTATTCTAAAGTACAGTGGTGCCTCACTAGACAGTTACCCCACATGACAGTTTTTTCACTAGACATTGACTTTTTGCGAGCGCTATAGCCATTCGCAAAACAGTGATTCCTATGGGGGAATTTCGCTGGACAAGTTTGGTCCCTGCTTCACAAACTGATTTTTGCTAGATGATGATTTTGACAGCTCCCTCCGTGCTCACAAAATGGGTGTTTTCGGGACCTAAGCTTCGCAAGACAGCAATTTAAACAGCTGATCGGCAGTTCGCAAAGCGGCTTTCCTATGGCCGATCTTGGCTAGACAACGATGATTCTTCCCCACTGGAATGCATTAAACAGGTTTCAATGTATTCCAGTGGGGAAATGCTTTTCATTAGACGATGATTTCACTAAACAGCGATTTCAGTGGAACGGATTATCATCGTCTAGCGAGACACTACTGTACCAGTTTAACAGTGTACCCCCACAACATCAGGGATTCATTTGCTTATGAATCTTCTGTTTTCCAACTGGGGGCTGTGACCCCAAAGGGAGTTGCAAGGTGTTTTCAGGGGGTGTGGAAATAATTTCTTCCTTTACCTTTCGGAGTGGGATATTAAAGTTAGTGTATTTGTATGGGAAACAGACACTTTGAGGAAGAAAGAAGCTTGTACTTTCTGAGAAGAGATGACCGGGACTTTTTCTTACGCACACACCCAAAAGCCAGCATAAAGATCTAATTACTGCCACTTCTACAAGAAAGGGGTCTTACTTACGAAACATCATTTCCGGAGAGGCTAAAGAAAAGGAGCAAGAAAGCAATCAGAGGAAATGAACCACAAGTACTAGGTTGGAAACTGATAAGATATATTTCAAGTTACAGAGGCTAAATCTGTCAAAATGCTAACAAGAATACACCAAGAATTATGGAAAATGGTCCAAAGACTGGAAAGATTCCATATACATTCCAGCTCCCAAGAAAGGAGGCACCATTGAGTGCAGTATCCGTAGAACCATAGCATTAATTTTCCAGGAAAGCAAGTTATTGCAACAAAAATATCTGACATAGAAGGAGCAAGAAATGCCCAATCTTCAGATTCCGAAAAGAGAGAGGTTGTAGAGATCATATTGCAAATATGTGGTGGTAACTGGAGCATACCAAAGACAAGCAACTGCTGCAAAATGATTAAAGGCTGGTGGAAGGTGGGGTGAATCCTCCTGCAACCACACAGTGTCAGCTGTAATTTTCATAGAGATCAATACACTCCTCCCATCCCATCTCATAGTGTCTTGAGAACAACCCTGTGTCTGGTCCATTCTGGAAAGGAAATGGGCTTGGCTGCAAAAAAGAAGCTTTGTTGCAATCGTGTTGGTAACAAAATTTAAAAATCACACATGTAGTCTTGTTCCCTTTAGGAGCCACGTCGGTCTTGGCTGCCTTACCTCTGATCTGCTCCTCTGTGCTAGCTAGGGAGGCATTTCTGTCACAGATGTCCCAGATCTTCCACTTCAGCTCAGGAGGGAAAGGCTCAGGATTCTGAAACGGCTTCTTCCTCTCACTACTGATGGAGAGAAAAAAAAACAAGGTTACTTCACCACCCACCCAATCCAAGCCAGAATTCCCCACAGACGGAAAACAAAGGGATTGAGTGGATGCAGAAAGCCTAGAGCAGCTGTCGGCCTCACGTGGTCCTCAGGCTGCATTCATCCACCCAGGGCATTTCTGCAGCCCCTATGGCCCCCTTGAGTTTAAAAATAATAATAAAATCTTCCTCAGAAGTAGTCTATTTGTGAATTCTTCGCTTTGGGAGCTTTGAGAGGGGACCCCACCACCTCATTAGAAATGAAGAAATCCCAAACCAGAAGTCTTCAGATAAGCACTTCCTGTTTACATTTTACTATGGCTGAAAATGATGTTTGGTGGGCACGGTGCAGTCTGGTAGGAGTTGGGGCAAATTTCCCCCTCCCCCCACATGGCCTCAATTCAAACCTTTAGAGATACAGAGTCCTCATTGCGGCTAATTAGCAAAAGCAGGGGCTTAGCTTAGACTAAGACACAGGAGGTCCACTTCTGGGAGAAAAGTATAACAGAAATGTAGTAAATAAATCTTGGAGGAGGAATTCTTTAATTCTGAAACTTGCTTCTGCCAAATGGCATTACCAGCAGGATGAGACTTTTGCTAATTAAAGATCTCCTCCTTTCTGACCTGACTATTCTATTATCCTATACTATGCCAAAACAACTTATTTTATGAGATGGTTATTATTATTATTATTATTATTATTATTATTATTATTATTATTATTATTATTATTA